AGCAGTTCAGAACTCTGACTGTGGTTTGGTTTAATGAAGTTTAATTTCAGTGTGATTAATGCCTTTGCTAAATGCTTTACTAAAGGAAATAACAGTGTTTTCGTTTAGTCTTAGATGTAATTTCAAATTAATTCAAACAAATTGAAATTAAAGTGTCCCTCAACCCTGTTACGGTCTTCATCCCGGTCACTGTATTCTCAACGCTCTGACGTTCATATTCTTTAGAAAATAAAATAAGGAAAACAGCCAGCATTTAAAGGCCTAACATTGTGCATACCTCCTCCCACACACACACACACACCTTCTTCCATCATCATTACATTTTACAGGAAAGCCTAAATGCTTTCATACATGAGATTTGAATGATGCAAGAGATGATCTTTCTGCAATCATTACAAATTTAGGATTTAGCAAAAAAAATGTATTAATCTGTAGGTCACGCGTGTTCAAAACTATGGGTTGTGATCTGTACGGATCAACCGTGATCCATTACAGCCCTAATAAAAACCTTAATTTCCAAACTAATGTTTACTTGTGTTATCTTTGACTTTAATATTTAAAATTAAATGTTTACACTATATAAATATTTAATACTTAAATTTGTTTGATCATCTGAAACATTAAAGTGTTACAAACATGCCAAACAATTATAACACTTTTTCACACCACTGAGTGTTAATTCAGTTTGTATATACATTTCAGTGATATTATTGTATAATATAAATATTTACATGATTTATAAACAATAATTAGGTAATAAGTAATATTTTTTGTCTTCTAATAGATGTATTATGAGAGCCTTTGTTTACCAAACAAATTGTTCCAACTGGGTTTGCATTGTAAATCTTAAATATACTGAAAAAAGTTATATTTTTATTTCATGTGTGACACTTTTAGTTACTGTACTCTCAAATTAATTCTGCAGATTTTATTTATTTTACAATATTCTGTGCCGATATAGCACAAAATAGAGGTTTTGTCTGGCCCTTGTATCAACAATGTAAGTACATACTGTAGTACTGTATGTACTTGCTTGATGAGTGAGACGATTGAAATGTTTCGTGTGAGCTGTCACTTTAAGCTGAACATGAAATATCCCGCCAACCAAAGAATGTCCAGAATGCAGCAGTTCTTCCACTGTCTCAGCCCACAGAGAGCATTACTGAGGAATCATGGGAAAAAACGCCCCCGCCTCATTCATTACAGGACCTCGCTGACAGCCAAACACCAGAGGAATGTTCCACAAAGATATTTCATGAGGGGGGAATTTTCAAGGCTGTCAAGAACACATCCCAAATCATATTTCATCACGAAACCAAAAGAACAAAACAAATGTAATTAAATTCTGCATAACGAGTAGATTTCATTTAAATATATTCATTTATTTATTCTGTTTATTAATTTACCGACTTGACAGGTTAAATTATTTATTTATTTTAGGGAAATAGATATAATTGTGAATTTTTTAAATATTGAATGGAAACTGCTCTCTTGGGTCAGTGCAAGAGCTGCCATCACCACTAGATGGCAGAAGTGTTGTTCTTTGCAGGTTTAGACAGTGTGTGCGTGTATATGTGTGTGTGTTGGGAAACACTTCGTTTGTTATCTGCTACCACCAGCTGAGGTGCTTCAAGAGAAAAAGATTAGTCTGAAATATTCACAAGAACACAGATGATGAATCTCTGTTTAAAGGGATAGTTCACCCAGAAATGTAAATTCCCTGTTAATTTTCTCACACACAGATCTAGATTCTCACACAGAGATGTAGATTTTCCTGTTACTTGAACTTATTTTAATATGTTAAACAGGTTTTAACTTATTTTTTTAAATCTGCAAATTGTAACTTGATGTTTTAATTTATATTGTAAAAAATGTTTAATTTCTCGCACGGACTGATCATTTGCTTCTTTCCAGGATCTCATTGTGTCATCAGGAGCCATGGCAAATGATTCAGACTTGTTTGTATGTGTTTATTTTTAAGATGCTTTCATACCTGGGGTCAGTTCTTCGTACCTCACTTAAATGATCTAAGATGATTTGGCAGATCCAGGATCTGTTCATCTTGATGACTGATCTCTCGCTAGTCGCTAATTTAGTTCTTCAAACAAGTTCGCCAATCAGATTAAAATGTCTGGATGAACTGATCTGAGATCGCTGCTTGTGTTGTGAAGGACAGATCCATTAATCCTCGAAATCATGATCAGCAATGCAACGATTGGCTGACGGCACAGCAGCGTAATGACATCATCTGATTAATATTCGATTATCCATGTGAGCAAAATTACATAACATTCGTAATAAACGGTTTGTTAAATATGACACGCAATAACTTTTGTTGGGTGCTGCAGGCTTTACACTATCATGTGACAAGAGTATTTAGCAATTTATTTAGTTTTACAGTTACAGCGGATTTTCTGTAGTGGTTATATATAGTAGGCTAGCCGGTTTCTTAATCGGTGTAAAGAATAACTGGATGTTTAAATAAATTTTGCATCACAAAAGCATTTTGATATTGGTAAAGATGCAATTTTTGTGAAGGATCAAATCACCATCATATTAACTGTCAAAACCTGTTCATGACTGTATAAATGTATTATTCCTTTTAAAAAAGTTGCATATTGTGCATGTCTATTATCATACACAAATTGTATTAAAGCGATTGTACGCGTTTGTATCTAAAAAGTTCATATCAATAAGTGTTCTCTTTGAACCACCGGGTGGCAGTCTTTGTACTTTTATTTCGGAGAGCAGATTGCATAAGTTTTATTAATATAATATTTTTTAACCTCTTTACCCTTTCTGTATTCTTCTGCCCTCATACAGCCAGCAAAAAGCAGACACTACAGTTTGACAAATATTACTGCACTTAGACAACCAAATATACTTTTGAGGCTTTTTTTTAGTTGAGAATGTAGTTGTTTAGATTGCAACTATGCAGTTTATTTGCAAGAATAGTGCCTATTTTAAAATATTTACAATTTCTGAGAGCTCATCAGCGGCTAAAAGACGGTTGACATTGTCTATCCACAAGATGGCGCCAGAAACGCATAAGCCCTTGCTCAGTGTTCTCTTGAGCGGAAATTAAAAAAACGGCAAACAAGAAAAACCGAAGCCTCCTGGTTTTTAAGGTGGACCGGATAGTCAATAAGAAGCTGGATTCAGCCTTGTCCCTCCTTATCGCAAACACAACAACAGTCTGGTGAGAAATCTCTGTAGACGGATGGCATTTCATGTCACGTTCAGCCTTATAGTCTTAAAATGCGAGGAAAATTTGCTGTACAAGCCACAGGGAGCGATCATTGTTTTCATATTTCACTATTCTTTTGTTTGATCAAACATAATTTACTGTGTTTGGACCACGTCAGACATATAAAAGGATTACTTATGCACATCACCTCAAAAACAGAGGAGAATGGCCCTGAAGCGCACAGCATAAGGTAAGAGATGACAGCGGTCTGTGCTATCTGGGGCTGCTTATTGATCATGAATGTATTGTTTTCACTTCTGCGCCATGGAAACACCGCGATTCATTCGACAACTGTTTGATATGTGAATATAATTCAGTAAAAAGAATGCTAGAACTGTATGAGCACCGGCAAGAGCTTTCATTTGAGCTATAACTTGTACATGTGTCATATGAAAAATATGAAAATGACCCAATGTAAAATACCCAGCTCGGGTATCCAAAATACTGTGTATTTAAGTGTAAATAACTTTTATACAGTAGGATAAAAATCAAAGTGATGCATATGTGCATAAAATACAGATCCTACACTTTCAAACAAAACCACTTACGAGGGTCTGGTGCAACGCTAGCCCTTTAAATCTTAAAGCGAAAGTCGATGACGTACCGGGTCCGCAGAATTTAAGTGTTAATGCAAGTGGTTTTAAATGTGATCCAAGATGTCAATTTGTCTTTTAAAAGCACCCCACTTCATCTCACTACACAAAGATTCCCTTGAGTATTAATGTTCTTGGAGGACAGGGTCTTGAGACCTAAAATAGTCTGTTTGCTCAGTAGAGATGCAAGTGGAAAATGAGTTGTATATTCCCTCTCTGGAGAGATCTTGGTGAAAGTATGATAGTTTGGAGGAACTTGCCTGAGAAACCTCATCTCCTCGTCTTTCTTCTCATCGTCGGTGATGATTTTGGAGGTAGTGACGCTCACCTCCACACCGTCCACCAGGAACTTACGGGTGCGCTTCAGGGTCTTCTTGGAGTCCTGGTGGAAAAACAGAAAAATAGGAAAACAGAGGCTGTGATGAATGCGATATGTGAGCGATATCACACGAGTAGGAGTGCGATATGGCCGTATATCGGCACTGGTGGGAGGCTGAGTGCCTTAGTGCCCCCACCAGTGCCGATATACAGCCATATCACACTGCTACGAGTGTGATATTGCATTTATACAGCAGTTTGACGGCATAATTGTGTATATAAAAACAAAATCAAACATGGAGAGTCTCAAAAACCATTTTGTATGAGGAACTACTTTCTTCCGCGCTTGATTCAAATCATAAGCTGACAGTAAACAGCTGAGCAAGCATCTTTTAAAGATTCTAACAACACTTTAGATCTGTAGTGACTCATGATCAGCAATGCAACGATTGACTGACGGCACAGCAGCGTAATGACATCATCTGATTAATATTCGATTATCCATGTGAGCAAAATTACATAACATTCGTAATAAACGGTTTGTTAAATATGACACGCAATAACTTTTGTTGGGTGCTGCAGGCTTTACACTATCATGTGACAAGAGTATTTAGCAATTTATTAAATTTTTTAAGTCTCAAAAACCATTTTGTATGAGGAACTACTTTCTTCCGCGCTGGATTCAAATCATAAGCTGACAGTTAAACAGCCGAGCAAGCATCTTTTAAAGATACTAACAACACTTTAGATCTGTAGTGACTGCTTGTTGCTGGCTGTATGTGGGCGGAGTAATACACAAAGGGTAAAGAGGCTGTAAGGGTGCTGATATTACTTAAATGTAATCACGGCTATCGGCCAATCGGATTCGAGAACCAGACAGAACTGTTGTATATAATGATATAATATAATTGCAGGGGGAACTGATGAACTAAATTGGCCGTAGTGTATGAGTGTGAACGCAAGAGTGTATGGGTGTTTCCCAGCTTTGGGTTGCAGCTGGAAGGGCATCCACGGTGTAAAACATATGCTGGATAAGTTGGCGGTTCATTCCCCTGCATCATTTACTCATGCTTTACTTGTCTTAAACCTGTTTGAGCGTCTTCTGTTGAGCACAGAGATATTTACTAAAGAATGATGGGGAAAACAGCGAGAGGAAATAAAAAGAGTGTCAGGAGCATGAAAATAGATCCTACATTTTACATAATGACTGTCAAAATTACTTGCAATTCTGAAGCAAGAAAGAAGAAATGAGAGAGAGAGAGAGAGGGTGTGTGTGAACAGGAAACAGTGAGATTGCTGTTATCCGGTGCAGCCAGTTCAGACAGGAAGTGGCTGTAACTCAAGAGCAGAGTGTGTAGAGCAGATTGAGTACACGAGGGGGAATCTCACACATACACACACACGTTTAAAAGCTTGCAGCACACACTAGCTTGCGCTTTTACACATACACATGCCCTCACACACACTTGTGCACGCGCACACACACTTACTCATTCACATACACAAGCTCGCCCCCACACACACACAAACACACATGCTTGCTAGACATACACACAAGCTCACCGGACACATGCCCTGACACACAGTACGCGCTTGTGCACACACATGCATGCAAGCACACACACAGGCTCACCGTACACACACATGCCCTCTTACACACGCGCCTGCACTTACATACGCTTGCTTGCACACGCATACACACACAAGCACGTGCACACACATGCATGCCACAAGCTCACACGCAGGGTCATCACACACCCACACACACACAAGCATGCAGCACACACTATCTGCAGATATGAGAAATGTTCTCTGGAGCCCCATAACGAAGAACAGAAAGCCGACAACAGCCGACCAAACAATCATCACTCAGTGACTGACGCACAATGCTGAATGAAGCAGGACAAAGAGCGTTCAGCAGAGACGGATGGAAAGTCTGACTAGAGCTTCATAGACGAGCTGCTTGAAATATGCAACAAATGAATGACTTCATTTAAAAGTTTGTTACGGGTTCAAAACGGGGTTTGAGCTCCAGAAGACTGAAATATGTTCATCTGAAATGCCAAACGTTCAAATAACATTGATGATTTGGAGGATTTCTCCTGAAAGTAGTCATTTGAAAACTCCACTGTAACTAATCTATTCTAAAATGACAAGATCAAACTTTACATCCAATTTCAACAAACATAATATAATAGCACACCTCCAGTCCAAATAGGCTTTTTGTTAATTAAAACATGATCTTTCAAATTTGGTCCATTTCATCAGGAAATTGCTAAAACTAAATCGGTGTAGAAAGAAATGACTAGTCCTTTAGGAGCAAAGACAGGCCGAGGATCACCAGTTTGGCAACAAACACATGAGAAAGTAATTGAAATGTTCCTCAAAGAAAGTTAGAAAGACATTTGGATATTTCACCTTCAACACTGCAGAACATCATCAAAAGATTCAAGGAATCTGGAGCAATTTCAGTGCGTAAAAGACAAGGGGCTCTATTTTGACGGTCCATGCGCAGAGCGCAAAACGCAGGGCGCCAACGCTTTCAGGCCGTGTCAGAATGTATTTTTGCTAATTTACGGATGGGAAAATGCGCCTAGGCGCATGGGCTAAAGGGTTGAGTTTATTTTCTTAATGAGTTATAGGTGTGTTTTGAGAATAAACCAATTAGAGTCTCATCTCCCATTCCCTTTAAGACGCAGCTTCGTCGCGCCAAGCGCATTCGCTATCTACAGGACGTAAAGTAAGTCTAAGTGGAAAAAATGAGCATTTCACAAGCAAACAGTTCACAGTTTTTTAACAGAAAACGTGAGAATGAGAGATAATGGAACTACTTTCACTTTCGCTCTTGGATAGGGAAACCTTTACGCACAGACATCAATTAGTCTAAAAATAATTAATTTAGTTTGTTAAGTGCAAATATTCGTTTCTAAACTATTTCTAAATTCAGTTCTAACTTCTAGCAAACGAATAAATGAACAATAATGACCAAGTGTGCTCAAAATATGGAGTTATTTTCCAAATACACCTGCCATGCTCCATATGGTCTAAAACCTGCAGGTGGGCAAATCTAAGCTTGTTTTTAATAAAACAAATATAAATATGGATATAATAAATAATACTGCTAATAATAATAACATTATACAAAAGCAAATTGTTATGAACTGAACTGAAAAAGCCTCCCGAGATGAAGAAGACATAAAAGCAGTGAATTTTCATATTTATGTAGGCTAGAGAATAATGTTTTGTAATATTTTAATCCTTTATATTTATATCCTATATCTATTCTTATTATATCCTATATATATCCTTAATATTTAAATTTTTTCATATGTAAAGATATTTGCCTATTGCTCTCTTGTGCGTATTAAGCAGTGTGTAAGTGAGGCGCAACTCTGCGCTGGAGTTTAGACTGGGTTTGTTTTGGTCTAATGAAAAATCTATTATAGTTTCTCAAAATAGCAACGCGCCAGCGGTCCGCCTCAAAACGCCTTCCTTTTTAGACCAGAACGCCTATGGGCGCACAAATGACCGCTAATGCATTTGCTATTAAAACAGTGTATCGCAACGCCTCAAAACCACTCTTGCGCCAAGCTGAAACTACCAAAAGACTATTGCGCCGCGCCTTGCGCCACACTGCGCCGGGTGTATGATAGAGCCCAAGGGCACAAGCCTAAGCAGAACAACCGAAATCTCCAATCCCTGAGGTGGCACTGCATCAAGTGTCCTCATTAATCTAGAAGCGATATCACCACATGGGCTCAGGACTACTGTGGCAAACCTTTATCCGGCAGCTAGCTCCCTGCAACTCTCACATGGTCACCCACTGAAGCTAAGCAGTACCTGGATGGGAGACCACATGGGAAAGCTAGGTTGCTGCCGGAAGTGGTGTTAGTGAGGCCAGCAGGGGGCGCCCAACATGTGGTCTGTGTGAGTCTTAATGCCCCATTATAGTGACGGGGACTCTATACTGCTTAGTGAGCGCCGTTTTTCGGATAAGACGTTAAACCGAGGTCCCAGCTCTTGTGCTGTGGTTACTAAAAATCCCATGGCCAAATTTGCCCCCTGGCCTCCATCCATCATGGCCTCCTAACACTCCCCATATCATAATGGGCTTCATCACTCTGTCTCCTCTCCACCAATCAGCTGGTGTGTGGTGTGAATTCTGGCGCAAAAATGGCTTTGGGTGCCCAGAAAAGCGCTATATAAATGTAAGCAATTGTTATTATTGTCAAGTACCACGATATGTATTGCATCTACAAATGCCAGTAAAAACTCTACTGTGCCAAAAGGAAGCCCTATGTTAACAGTGTCCAGAAGCACAATCAACTTCTCTGGGCTCGGAGACATCTGGAGTGGACCATCACACAGTGGAAATATGTACTGTGGTCAGATGAAAGCGCATTTTAGGTGTTTTTAGGGGGAAATGGACACCATGGACATCTTTTAAGTGTTGTGAAAAGAAATGGCGCTACTGTTCCAACTTTGTTTTCCAAAAATAAATAAATAAAAACCTTAAGAAAGACAATAAATAATGATGATTGTATTGTCTGCAATAAAATAAAAGTCAAAGTAAATTTTGAAATCATTACTTTGTTTGTGCGTGTGCGTGTGTGTGTGTGTGTGTGTGTGCGTGTGTGTGTGTGTTTTCCATACTGTCCCAACTTATAATAATTATGACTTTAACTGTGTATGGAGTGTACGTCCCTACAAGCTACATAAGACGTTTAAATGCATGTGGAAGTGGCCACATCTCTCCATCCTGCAGCACAGAGAGCCTCATGCTGTGTTCGGCAGAGGTCTGTAAGTTGGTGTCTATAGACAGACTCTGCTCTGTTTGACAGCGTCCACACCCCTCCTGAGCTCAGTACATTCACTGTACTGCTATGTGTTCAACCTGGCCAGAGCTTCCAGAACGCTCCACTAGCTCTTATAAGCAGAGCTCTGTTATACTGTGGCACTGATACAGTAAACAGACGACCTCGAGGAAAAGGCAAGCATTTTAAAGGCCAAGTGTGTCATTAGTGTTCAGTGCAGGCACGCTCTACAGTTGGTAGAACCAGCAACTGATTGGTTTCCGACAATATACAGGGTGGGCCATTTATTTGGATGCACCTTAATAAAATAGGAATGGTTGATGATATTAGCGTCCTGTTTTTGGCACATTAGTATATGTGAGGGGGCAAACTTTTATAATAAGTTAAGTTATTATTTGTTGCTCTTACAACTGGGATTGACGACTAGATGTTTGTCAGGTAGTGTACATTCTAGGGATGTAACGGTATTGTAAATACCGTCATACCGCAATATTATTTTTTTTCGATATTACCGTAGTCGCATGACTCGGTAAAACTATAGGTCTTCTGAGAAAATTTGCTCAGGCGAATGAAGCTAACGGGAGGTACCGGAAACTACAATTCCCATCAGCCCAGGCTTGGCCATAATCCCTTGCGGTCTGTTGTCGCTACAGATCCAGTAATGCGGAAATGGAGTGTGCTGCTAGAAGCGGGGATGAAAAAGAGCTGGAAAACCCTAAAGTGGGTGTTGTCGCCGCGCACGTACTGAATAGTGGTGTTGTCGCGCGAGTTCTTATCAGCTGTGTTGTCGCGCGCGTACTAAATAGCGGTGTTGTCGCGCGAGTTCTTATCAGCTGTGTTGTCGCGCGCGTACTGTAAAGCGGGGACGGAGGTTATGTCGCGTCGCGGGGGCACTTTTGATCATTTTGGAAGGGAACTTTCTATCCAAGACTAAAAAGGGCATGTGCACTGCACAGGTTGAGCACTGTGTGTGCACGTGCCTGCAAGTTGGGGAATACGACTAATAATCAGTCATGGGGACTGCAGAAACACAGCACACTGTTCAGATTGATGCAGACATGAGATCTCTATCTTACTCATGGTTTGTCCTCTCAAGTGGGGGAAAGACAATGCACAACGTTACCCACTGCTGTCAACCTGGGCCAAGTCATATCTCTCTGTCCCAGAAACCTCAGTCCCAAATGAGAGGGTTTTTTTCTGTTGCAGGGGACATTGTAAATGCCCAGAGATACCAGCTTTTACCAGACTATATTTATATGATAATTTTCCTTTAAACCCATCTCTATCTAAGTGAGTGAGTGATTAAATGTTGAATGTGATGAGTTTTCAACACTACTAAATTGAAACTTTATTTTTTTACATGGTTTAATATTTTTTTGTTATTAAAATTGAAGTTCCTGTTTCAAAGCTTACAGATAGATGACTAATTTGTATGTCATTGGCACTTTTGGCACTTTTTTGGAGTATTTTCATAAGTTTTGTTTTTTCCTGTAAATGATTCAATAAATACCGTACCGTGACATTCATACCGAGGTATTACCGTACCGTGAAATTCTGATACCGTTACATCCCTAGTACATTCCATCACATTGATGAAAATCAAAAGCTAAAACTCGAAGTTTGGGACAGCATTAGTCACTACATCTAATGTAGCATTAAGTCTGGAGAGCTGGATGATTACTTGTATAAAACAGAGCTAATTAATGAGGAATTCTGCAAACAGTTTATAAATAATCATAATAACACAGAATCAAACAAAGACTTACCCGTAGAGAGATGGTGCCCATCTCCTTGTTGACAGACAGATCGCCTGAGAGGTTCAGACTGATGTCCATGCTATCACTGGCCACATCCGAATATCGATTTGATAACCTGCCATTGGTGTGAGAAACCAAACTTTCCGCGTCGTCCCCAGCAAAGGAGGACCTGTTGCTCACCACAGACATGCGACCGTTCGGGTCCTTCAACTGAATTCTTTTCAGCACTGGCTGAGTTTCCTCACAGTGATCTTCTTTCTCAGGCTCTTTGGGTTTCTCCAAGTATTTCTCCATGGTTTCTGAGGGATATTCAGGTTCCTCTGCAGGTGTTGGTGTCCTCTGTACAGGAAGCTCTGGTTCAGATGCTTCAACTGTCTTGGTGTCCTCCTCTGAGGTGGGTGTGCTTTTGCCATCCTCAATGCCTGAGTCTGAACTGGAGGCTTTGCCCGACGCCTCGCTCTCAGGTTTATCGTGATCTTCCACTTGAAACTTATCACTAAGGTTGTCCTCCTGCTCTTTCAACGGGGTTTTGGTGGACTCGAGGGTGCTGGGCTCCTCCTCAATCTCCATTGAAGTTTCGGCGTAACATGTGCCATGCGGGTGGTCCCCATTCAAACTGGTTGCACTGGTTTGTGACGGGTCTTTAGTTGGGGCCTTAAAAAAAACAAAGATAGGATGTGAATTATGCAAAATAATTAAGTAAAAGCTGAAACTGTAGAACTGTACTACTGAAAGTGAGAATCTGTCACATAGTGTAGGACTAAAGGCTGATGTGCTTCATGCACAGCAAGTGTTATTCAGCCAACAATACATTTCAAGTGAAAGATTAAAGTGACTATTTTTAATATCATAAGGTTCATTTTACAGCATCTAAGATGTAATGTGATTAAAATACAGTTACTTAAATAGACTTAAATCATTTAGCTGTTCAAGCGTAAAACCAGATGAAAGACTGCTTAAACACAAGCACTGTCAGTAGAAGCAGGTTAGCGCAGAAACTCCATTAAAAATACTAAGGTCAAATAAAGTTTTATTTTTTTAAAGACATGGCGGACTTTAATACAGTGCATCTTGTCCAGTCTGAGACCCACTTCATATCATATCTCAATCAGACAGTGAAGATCGCTGATTTTTAAAAAATCTTAAAGATGCAGTATTTAAGACTGACACCCAGAGGTTGAACTTGGTATTGCATTTCTGGATCAAAGCAAATGCAAGCGCAGGTTGCCAGATTGAGCATGCATGACTATTAAGCCTGATTTAAGTTGTGTTAGAAATAAAAGCTACAGCATGCGATGGATGGAATATTTTCATTCTTACATGTTACATGATAGTTTTACATGACATGATAAATCATCTCAGATGTTGAAAATAAAATAAACCATTTGAAATTGAACTTCAGACTCTGTGACTCCAACACATATGCAAACCAAGTGCAAACCTTCTTATCAGTAATTCAGCATGTACATTTAATTATGTTAAAGTAGTTTAATGTGTATTAATTAGATTCTAAACCTTATCATTTTCGTCGAGGTGCAGTCACTGCACTATTCTGTGCTTCTGAATGGCTGTACCTAAATGTTTTGCGTCTGGTGCAAACAGCCAAATTGCTTATCACTGCAAATCTAGCAACATACTGTGTTGTTGGGATCCGGGGTTACAATGTAACCTGCTCAACTAATGCTTACGTTCGTAATATTGATATTATTTGCTAATTAATGACCATGAATCTGCGTCTCATTTCGGATGCTGTTACTGTCCACTGGAGGTCATATTTCAGTCACAGGCGCACACTTTGAGAGCCTTTCTGACTGAATGAATGAAACGCTCGGTTATCCAACAAGGCAACTCGAGGTGTTGAAATATAATTGGCTAAACTGGCATTGGGTGGGTTGAAAGAACCCAAACAAAGATAGAGCTCATAACTCTGCATCAGATTGTGCTACAGACTAAAGTCTGGCCTTATTCAACTCAGTCTAGCCAGCAGCCAATCACTGATGACCTTTAGACTTACTAGCCACTCCTTAGCAACCAATTTCAGCACCCTAGCAAAACTGAGCCTAGCAAAACTGTGACAAACTGTTATAACACATTCTAATAGTTTTAACATCATACTGCTAATCTTGCTAGAAACAGACTACCAACATGCTAGTGACATGCTAGTCATGCTAGCACATGCTAATTCATGCTAACAACATGTTAGAAACAAGCTGATTTATGCTAGAATCATGCTAACGACATGCTAATTCATGCTAACGTGCTAATTAATGCTAGAAACATACTAACAACATGCTAATTCATGCTAGAAACATCCTAGCAACATGCTAATTCATGCTAGAAACATGGTAACAACATACTAATTCATGCCTACATGCTAGAAACATGCTAATTCATGCTAGAAACATGCTAACAACATGCTAACTCATGCTTACATGCTAATTCATGTTGAAACCATGCTAGCAACATGCTAATTAAGGCTAAAACATGCTAGTAAAGTGCTAATTTATACTAGAAATATACTAACAACATGCTAATTCATGCTAGTATCATGCTATTACCAACCTCAGACACAGGGATCAACTTTAAATCATTTTACTGGCTTGCTTCAGTCTTTACAGGGGTTGCATTGTTGACTGCAGGGATCTTAAACATTCTTTTAGCCAACTTGACACTTTTTCAAACTAAATCAATTAATTCCAACAGGCTTACTCAAGCCACCTTAAAGTTTGTCCTTAAAACTTCATCATCAAGTTGACAGTAAACTTAAACAGACGTAGTCCTTCAACCTTATTACCATTTCCATGCCAAAATGAGAAACCAATTGTCCTGCGCTTTATTTAACTCTGAAGAAATGAGGACGGCGTGTCTTTTGTTTCGCTTTTAAATGCTTGAAGGCCAGATTAAGTGGAAGAGGAAGTGCTTTACGAGTTATTTTGGAACGCTTTGTGCCATGTCATCACATTTACTCTAAACAACCTACAATAGATCTTTAAATGGAGACGCTAATGGGAAAGCTGGGCGAGGGACATGTTGCCTTGTTCTGTTATAGTTAGATTATAAAAGCGGAGGTGATATCACAATCACATTGTGCTGTGAGAGGTACATGTAGGTGCGGTGGCGCCTAGTGCCCATGAAACGAGAGCTGAGTCAGGGAAGAATTAGGGGCATAGAATAAGATCATGCAGAATATACACTCACCGGCCACTTTATTAGGTACATCTTACTAGTAATGGGTTGGACCCCCGTTTTGCCTTCAGAACTGCCTTAACCCTTCGTGGCATAGATTCAACAAGGTACTGGAAATGTTCCTCAGAGATTTTGCTCCATATTGACATGAAAGCATCACGCAGTTTTTTGCAGATTTGTTGGCTGCACATCCATGATGCCAATCTCCCGTTCCACCACATCCCAAAGGTGCTCTATTGGATTGAGCTCTGGTGACCGTGGAGGCCATTTAAGTACAGTGAACTCATTGTCACGTACAAGAAACCAGTCTGAGATGATTCAGGCTTTATGACATGTGTTATTCTGCTGGAAGTAGCCATCAGAAGATGAGTACACTGTGGTCATAAAGGGATGGACATGGTCAGCAGCAATACTCAGGCAGGCTGTGGTGTTGCCAACATGCTCAATTGGTACTAATGAGCCCAAAGTGTGCCGAGAAAATCTCCCCCACACCATTACACCACCACCACCAGCCTGAACTGTTGATACAAGGCAGGATGGATCCATGCTTTCATGTTGTTGGCACCACATTCAGACCTGACCACTTGATTGTGGCAGCAGAAATGGAGACTCATCAGAGCAGGCAACGTTTCTCCAATCTTCTATTGTCCGAGTTTTGAGCTACTGTTGTCTTTCTATTAGCTGGAACCAGTCTGGCCATTCTCCTCTGACCTCTGGCATCAACAAGGCATTTGCGCCCACAGAACTGCCACTCACTGGATATTTCCTCTTTTCAGACCATTCTCTGTAAACCCTAGAGATGGTTGTGCGTGAAAATCCCAGTAGATCAGCAGTTTCTGAAATACTCAGACCAGCCGTCTGGCATTAACAACCATCCAACGATCAAAGTCACTTAAATCAGCTTTCTTCCTCATTCTGATGCTCAGTTTGAACTGCAGAAGATCGTCTTGACCATGTCTACATGCCTAAATGCATTGAGTTGCTGCCATGTGATTGGCTGATTAGAAATTTGCGTTAACGAGCAGTTGGACAGGTGTACCTAATAAAGCAGCCAGTGAGTGTATGTACTAATAAACAGCCAATATCTAGGCAGATAATAAGCCCCTAATTAAAAGTAAGAATTGGTACTTAAGCTAAAGTGCTACCCTGTCCATTTTTTGCTAATTTAGTAGATGACACTGGTATTTAGTTCACCAATATGTTACATAATCTAAATAAGCACATATCTGGATAATTGATTGTGCTCCTGGCATGTAGTGCTGTAAGGCAGTGTTTTTGCTTTCACACATACTGTACACCTGCACTGAAGCGTACAATCAACTTTCCACGCGACAACATTTACAGGCAAAGCGCTGAACAAACGTGCCTCTCTTTACGCCTGGAGCTCTTTTCCATGACCAGTGCATTATTAAATTCTCCATCAGCACACACACTGCAATAAAAATGTTTTTGTCCTGTTTCTAGTCCTCATCTCGTCTCGTCTTCATCTCGTCTTAAATCAAGAACTGTTTTCATCAGGTATTTCCTTTTAGTCAAAATTAAGTAATATATTACTTTAAACAAGCAAAATAATCTTCCAATCAGCTAAATAAACAGGCTTTTTTGCTTTTAAATAACCTATACGCATTTCTATAGCACATTAGCAGATTATTTAGCTTGCTTTAAGGAAAAACTCGCTTAATTTTGACTCATTATTTTTGAAAACAAAACCATATTTATTGCTTGTCTAGAAAATGCTTCTTGATTTAAGACTTTAGATATTTCGATTAGAAACAAGACAAAAACTCTAAGAAAAAAAAAAAACATCACTGAGAGATTTTTGGAGGTGTGTGATAAGTGTGAAATGTCAGACCTGTACAGGTGTGAGGTCCGCAGGGTCTTCATCTTCTCCATCTTCGTGATTATCCTCGATCTCCTCCATAACCTCAGCTTTGGCTTCTGCCACCAGCTCTCTTAGAGGACGATTGGTCTTCACTGAACTCACGAAAGGATGCTGAAACACAGACGTTATGGGGAAAGAAGATAATTCTGTGTTCTTCATAACAGTACAAACTGTACCAATCACTATGTAAACATGAGGGTGTGTTTGATATAGAAAATGCTGCTTAAAATCAATACATCGTGAATGATACCTATTCTCTAGGACTAATTGCCGAAGTTGAGTATCATAAAACACCTTTGGTTTTCTTAATCTACAGAGCTGTTGAATGCTTGATTCGGATTGGCTGATGAACATTATAAGGTGTGTGGTTACTTTAAGATAAACGCATAGCTAAAGTAGTTCCAGGTAGGTTTAAAGTGCATTTCATTCATTCATTTTCTTTTCGGCTTAGTACCTTTATTAATCTGGGGTCGCCACTGCGGAATGAACCGCCAACTTATCCAGCATATGTTTACACAGCGGATGCTCTTCCAGCTGTAACCCATCACTGGGAAACACCCATACACACTAATTTGCACACATACACTATGGATAATTTTAGCTTACCCAATTAACCTGTACCACATGTCTTTGGACTTGTGTACGAAACCAGTGCACCACCTTTCCCTCTTGTAAAAAAAAAAAAAAAAATCTACGGATTTTGTCTGAATGATTTTGAGTGTGTTTGAGCTGAAAACTTAAAAACTTAATTAATGCACATTCAATCAATTGAAAACACTATATTAGGTCTCTTGTAAAATACATACACTAAAAGAGAGAGAAGACATTACTTTAGAAATTGTATCAGATACACAAATCATCTAAACGTTTACATTTAAAAAATATATATATATATTTGCAAATTATATATTTTATAAATAAAATATATAAAATTTAATAAATAAAAATATATATAAATAAAAATAAATGTACATAAAAATATATAATATAAAATAAAAATATATTTTTTTTTTATTTGCTCATTTATTCGCCTTCACATAAGCAAATATTTGGAATGACAGGGTCAACAATCTGTAACTTATTATATCTAAACACTAGTATAATCTGTAACTAGTACTGTGGAAAAAAATTGTGTATTGTGGATTTCTACTGGTGAAATCTACACAGTCAAAAATCACAACAAATCAAAACACAAGACACAACTAACAAATATGAACAAGAAACTAGTCCTACAGACAGAAACGTAATATATATATATATATATATATATATATATATATATATATATATATATATATATATATATATATATATATATATATACAGATGAAGTCAGAATTATTAGAACTCCTTTTTAATTTTTTTTTCTTTTTTTTAAATCTTTCCCAAACAAACCAAGGAAATTTTCACAGTACGTCTGATAATAATTTTTCCTCTCGAGAAAGTCTTATTTGTTTTATTTCGGCTACAAAAAAAGCTATTTCAGGTATTTTTAATCACCATTTTAAGGACAATATTATTAGCCACCTAAAGCTACATAGTTTTTTGATAGTCTACAGAACAAACCATCATTATACAATAACTTGCCTAATTACCCTAACCTGCCTAGTTAACCTAGTTAACCTAGTTAAGCCTTTAAATCTCACTTTAAGCTGCATAGAAGAGTCTTAAAATATCTAGTAAAATATTATTTACTGTCATCATGGCAAAGATAAACTAAATCAGATTTTAGAGATGAGTTATTAAAACTATTATGTTTAGAAATGTGTGGAAAAAAATCTGCTCTCTGTTAAACAGAAATTAGGGAGTAAATAAACAGGAGGGCTAATAATTATGACTTATATATATATAAAAACAATGTCTGTTTAGAATTTTAAAAGACATGACTTAAAGACTCTCACACAACAGTGGCTGTCAGGATGCTGTTCAAATTCCTGCCGCAATTAATTAGTATTAAGTAACATTATTATCACTTATGGAATCTGCGCATCGAGTTTGTCATGGTGCGTTCACACCAGACATGGATGAAGCATCAAGCGCGGGTGATTTACATGTTAAGTCAATGCCTAGACATCCTGAGGCAGGAGTGAATGTAGTGAATGACACAATTTGAATGAATTGAGCGCTTTGCATTTGTAAAATCTTAAGTTAGCGGTCATTCGCACCGCGTTAACAGTAACAGGAACTTGCAGTATGGGAGAGATTATGGCATAGTGCCTGCAGTTGATATACCGAGGGGAAATCCTCCTGCCGACACAGGCTCATCAAACTGGGCTCGGCTCAGTCTGAAGCACTGCTGACAGCTTTCATCATCCAGGTACAGTTTCTGGAGGAGCTGATCAACTCCCAGAGCTGGCTGCACCTCTGAAAGGATCTAGTGGACTCCGACATGGCGCCGAACGAATCTACGCTGTTTTTCAGCCTTCATAAAGCAAATAAACACAGCTACTTTCTCTGTAAAATCAATGTCAGCCATTTAGCAACAAAGCTAGAGTCACCAAGCAGACAGAAGCCCTGCCCATGACGTGAATCTGCTTCTACTGTGAAGTGGATTAGACGCACAAATGAAGCGAGTACACTTAAAATGTTCTTGCACCTATATATTAATATTTATTTATTCGCACGTCTGGTGTAAACATAATACCTCAAGTTGCCATAGACGTGGCATAACGCTAAACATATCGCCCAGTGGGAAATCCCTGATTGAAGCACTTGACATATGATCCGCTCAGCAATCTGAGGTCAACTTTGATTTACATGATCTGTTTTGGATTACTGACTTGACACTGGAACTGGAAAAACTACTTGTCTAAATAACTACATTGTGAAATAAATATTGTTTACATGAAATAAAAGGCCCTTAACAGGGGTGACCTTATGCCGAGTTCAGATTGCATGATTTTTAAAGTAGTCGTGTCACAGATGTTTTCACACTGCTTGACTATCTGGGCTAGCGTTTCATCGCTGCTTTGTTTACACTGCAAGATGGATCGGCGACAGGGACTTTCACATTGCATGACTTTACTATAGGATGAATCGCCGACAACTTCGTCCAAACTACGTCTCACAGCCGAAAAGCCCATAGTATATCTTTTGTTCTTAACTACATAATGAGAAAGAAACCTTTAATGGGGTAGAACATGTACATATTTGCTCACCTGGGTTTAAAGGGAATTAGCCATTTCTCCTCAACGTTGATAATAAACTAATTTCTTTCTGTATGAAACGTCAAACAGACACGGTTGCTCCTGAGTCCTGTCAAACCTCCACTAGTTTTTCCTCCATTTCGTGGGTCCAAATAAACCGAAAAAGAGCGCTTTTAACTTCTCCCCCAGCCTCCCGCTGGCCTGCAGCAGGTATACACAAACGCAAGTGAATGCTGCTCTCTCATTGGCTGTAAGCGATGGCTGATGTTATTTTCAGTCAAAACTCAATTCACACGGCATGATTTGAATCGCCGACAGCTCCAGATATTCAGCACGCCAAATATCTCGCAGGCATCGGCGACTCATCTGCGATTCTCTCAGATCGCGTCTTTGATAGTTCATACTGTGTGATTGTCACTCACGTGCACGAGCTGTGATTTTAGGCATTTGTCGGCGATTTCTCAAAACCTGTCGGCGAGTCAAAATCGGGGCTAAAATCACGCAGTCTGAACTCGGCATTAGGTGTGGCAGCTATAATAAAAGCAAAACTGATGACTCCGATCCAAAGAATTATTAGAAAATGATGCACAACTGAGCTGCAACGGCGCCATGTGCATTATTTTTCTGGTCACACTTTACAATAAGGTTTTATTAGCTCAAAAGTAATGCATTTACTGACATAAACTAATAATAAACATTACTTGTAGAGCATTTATTAATCATAGGTCAACATTTACTAATACAGAGTTATTAACACACTGCGAGTCTGTTATCAATTTTTCCTTACAAATACGATAACGCCATGTGGTTTGGATGAAAATGCCTGCGTTTGACCTTCTGTTAGCATGTTAATCCATCTGAAATACAATCGCAATCAGCAAAACAGGCAGATCATTAAATAGAGAAAATAATAAACAAAATAAATGTTCTCCGCAGAGTCAGAGGTTTTAATTAGGCGAGGAGCTGAGTTAGATTTGTGTCCGGGTACTGGGGACTTGAAGTGAACTGTGAAAGCAGCGGCGTAATGGAGAGAAACGCTGCTCTCATCTATTATTCAGCTGAGTTGCACCTTGTTTAATTGAAGTGTCCCAGCTGCCGAGCGTATATGTGAGAGCGAGTCAAGCGTTAAAAACATACAGCCAGCAATATCAATTACCTTCAGCGATGACCGCGACTTACTGACAGTCAAGAAAAAAAATGCTTCAGCCAGTGGGGGAAAAAAACACTGCGTCTCGATTCACGTGATACATTTACACCTTACACCTTTTGCAAAGTCAAATTTAAAGCAACACTCCGCTTTCTTTTTTGGGAACAAGGCACATTTTATTGCTCCCCTAAAGATAAAGAGATGGGCTTTTGAATGCATTTAACAATTACCTAGTCCTGGTGGGAGCACATTTAGCTTAGCTTAGCACAAATCATTGAATCGGGTTAGACCGTTAGCATCTTGCTCAAACCTTTCAAAAAAGACATCTGATAAGTTTCCTATTGAACTCCTCTGTATTACATCATTAGAGCATGGCTATTCAATTCAACCCGGCCCCTGGGACAATCTGTTCCCGCCCTCCAAATAGTGTGACCAAGACATAAAAAATAAATTTAGTTCAGTCGAAAAACGTCTGCTGTAGTTATGAAGTGATGTGCATCTGTTCAATACAGCACGAGCTGCAATGGAAAGCTGCGCAGAGCGTGAGTCACCATAATCGAGTGGCTTTGGATTTGTTTGTAGAAAAGGTCTTTTGTATTATGCATTGATATCTTCAATAGGGATGCAACGATTAGCCGATTTCACTAGTAACTGCGCTTTAATTGGTCACAGTTAATTAAACGTAAAGGCTTCTAACACGCATTTCTGTTGCATGGAACAAAACAAAACTGCTGCAATTAAACAAAAGTTATGCCAAGTTGCCACTTGTGCGCTAATTTTCATGATTCATGTTTACACCTTTTCCAAACTCAAATTTAAAGGACCACTCCATGTTTGGAGGGGGAAAGACTCATTTTGTTGCTACCCTGGAGTTAAATAGTTGAGTTTTAGCGTCTTTAAATCTATCTCCGGGTCTGACGGGAGCGTTTTTAGCTTACCTTAGCATAAATCATTAAATCGGATTAGACCATTAGCATCTTGCTCAAAAAAAGAACAGGAACAACTCTTCTGTAGTTTTGTCGTGTACTTAGACTGATGGAAAAGTTGCTATTTTCTAGGCTGATATGGTTAGGAACTAAACTCTTATTCTGGTGTAATAATCAAGGAACTTTGTTGCCATACAAGACACAATGATATTACGAATCACCTGAAAATAGGTAACAGCAATGTGTTACCAAAAATTATCAAATCTCTTTCTTGAAAGTTTTGAGCAGGATGCTAATAGGCTAATCCAATTTTAAAAATTGTATTAAAAAAAATAGTTGAATTTTACCATTTTTGAATCTATCTCCGGGTCTGACGGATGCACTTTTAGCTTAGCTTAGCATAAATCATTCAATCGGATTAGACCATTAGCATCTTCCCCCTGAACCAGATAAATTCAGTGACATTTTTGCTTTTACTGCAATTTTTGCATTTTTTAATCAATGTAAAAAGATCTGCTGATTAGCCTAAAACATTAAATAAAAAATATTTTAAAAAAATTTTTTTTTACTTTTATTTAAGGTTTACAATGCAAATCCAATTATACCCATTTGTTTGGTAAATATATATACTAAAAAAAATGAAAATATTGCTTTACAAACTGTATTGTAATAATTAGAGTCAAGGATTTCTGCGTATCTGTAATTAAAGCTCTCTTGAATTCAAGGATTATTTTAGACATCCCAGATAAAAGCATTGAGGTAACGTGGCACTCAGAGCAATACAATGATACGAACAAAGCAGACGGTTCTTCATTAAATAGCATGTAGAGCATATCAATGTCACCTTCAGCCCGACAGCCACCTGTCTGCTTTATATGCAGCAGAGCGTTAAATGAATATGTAATATGAAACGGCCAGAAGAGAGAGTGCTATCAGAACATGCGTTGTAGTAACTTTATATGCAGTAGCTGCTGTGCACATGTCCAAAACATTGAACTTTACGGCTGTTTTTAAACTTATTTATTGAATGTTTGTTTGGCTTGAGTTTGAATAACATGTGAATTTTTTTTCCATAATATTTCTGACAAATCTCTGTTTGTTTTTTAAATAAATTTCTTTTAGGGCTTTCATTTTTATTGTTTGTTTTCATTATCATTAATGTTATTGTTACTAATTTTGTTACCATTGTTATTATTATTATTATTATTATTATTACCATTATTAATTTATTAATATTATTATTCTTATCATCATTAACATTATTATTATTAACATTACTATTATTATTATTGTTGTTATTATTATAATTATTATTATTATTATTATTATTATTATTATTAACATGATTTTTATTACTATTATTATAATTATTTTCTTATCATCATCATTATCATTATTATTATTACCATTAACATTATTATTAACATTATTATTGTTGTTATAGTTATTACTATCATTGTAATTATTATTGTTAACAATATTTTTATAATAATAATAATAATTATTATTATTATTATTATTATTATTATTATTAGCATCAATATTATTGACATTCATATTATTAACATTATTGATTTTATAATAATAATTATTATTATTGCTAACATTATTTTATAACAATTATCATTATTATTATTATTATTATTATTATTAACAGCATTATTATTATTATTATTATTATTATTTCATTCTTTTTCTTATTATCATTATTATTATTTTTATTATTATTATTATTATGATTATTGCTGTTGTTGTTATTTTTATTGTCGGTAACAATTTTATTATTGTTGTTGATGTTGTTGTTATTGTTATAGTTATTGTTGTTGTTGTTATTGTAATTATTGTGATCATTATTATTAATATTATTATTATTATTATCGTTTAATTTTCTGTGTTTGAAAATCAAGTGTATTCCACTAAATTTTTACAATGCAAATATAATTTTTTTTAACTATTCTAATATTAAATGTTGCTACTGTGTTGCCTAAAAACAATAATAAAACATGGGAACCTTAGTTATTTTATCCTAAAGCGGTTTTACAGCAGTTATTTGACTTCCTAACATGAACAACGAACAACACAATAATTCCAGTCTTTATTTTTTTTTTTTATACTAGTTAACTCGAAATGTGTCTTACTGCTCAGTGAGAGATAATTAAGGAAATTAATTGAGGACTATTCTGCTCCTGCCTTAAAAGCAGCACATTTACATGATCATTTCAGTTCCTCATTTCAGGGTGGAGTTGAAGAAAGTTCCTGTAGGAAGAATGCAAATTGCTGTAATCCCCTTAATCTAGCTGGACAGGAAGCATGAATCCCTTGATAAGACATCCTGGGGTTTACTATGGTTCTTTCTATGCTTTTGTGTTAACTCTTGTATGCTGTTCAGATTGACAACCCTTTCCTTATGTTGGGGGCTGTTTGTGCCCCATTGACTTCTATTATTATGACATTTTTTGATTTTTTAAAGTCATGAGACCTTATAATCATTCTTTCTTGATTGTTCGTGGTTTCCCCTGTAGGGAAGAGGTCAAATGTGTTATTGTTACTGTTGATCATCAGTTGGCAGCATTAACCCTTAAGATAGGCCTATTTAGAAAAAGGAAAGCTTAGTTTCTGGGTTTTACACTACTGTATATGGAGTTCTGTGGAGTAAAACAGCGGATTATAGTGTGTGTGCATAAATACACTTACTATATTTACTATATTCTGAAAGCTGAGCTGCTTATTTAGATTTTCTCAAACTTATCAGGATAAATGCGCAAAGGTCTCTCTCACACACACACCTTATAGAAGGCAGAAACTATGCTTTTTTTTTTTTTTTTGCACTGCAACTGATGATCAACAGTAAACATGACAAACTGTACCTCTTTCCATAAGGGAAAACCAGCAACAATCAAGAATGCAAACTATGCTATAAAAAGAAGTCATTATAATGGAAGTCAATGGGGCAAAAACAGCCCCCAACATAATGAAAGGGTGGTCAATTTGCCCAGAGTGTATTGTTGAGTTTTTGAACATTTTCAAGAAAGCATTTTCCCAAAATATGTGTGAAAATGAGATTGATCAGCAAATATCATCCATTTGCTGAAACAGAGAAAGCTGTGGCCCCGTTAAGACTCAAAATCTCTCCAGAGTGGATGTAAACATCCCCATCAGCACACAAGGGTTAAACAGCAGTATAGAGCAGTATGGACCAGTGACGTATAGTGTATGTGTGAAAATCCTTACCTCTAGAAGCTGAGCAGCGGTTGGCCTGGTCTCAGGGTGTCTGTCCAAGGCTTTTTTCAGGAAATCATTAAAATCCATTGACCTGAAATACACAAAACACTTGAACCATTCGCTTTCATTTACTCACATCATTCACTCCCAGTTTTCCTCTAAATATGAATACCACAATGATGCGCGTCCATTGCGAATGGATTGTACGTTCTGCACCGTTCGTTGCGCCCAGTTAGATTTGACTTTGGATGTAAAGTACTTGTACGAATAGGCTGTTTTCACATGGCGTCATTAATGATGTGGGAAACTCAGATGGAGGGCAGTAAGTGATTCTTCTACATAGGAATCGCTATCAGAACTGAATAAAAAAAACTGATTATAGATTATTATACAACAAATAATTGTAAAATAATTTCTTCTTTCTACCAACAGGTTTCTTGCACCTTTTCCAACTTCAAATTCCAGCACTTTTCAAGCATTTTCAAGGTGCATTTGTATGCTTTTCTAGCACCTAACAACCACGGCTAATTACGTTTATATATGTTGTATATACATTTAAATCCATTGTGCCATTTTAAAAAACACAATATGATATTTCAACTTAAATTGTTGAATACTTTAGAGCATAGATTTATTGAGAGTTCACCAAAAAAAACAAAAAAAGTATATATATATATATATATATATATATATATATATATATATATATATATATATATATATATATATATATATATATATATATATATCTATCTATATATATATA